GGTCTGATCCACAGTGGTAAGATCCGGATGGAAACATGGCCTAGTGCTTGGAGCAGGGGACTTGCAATCAGGACTCCTGGGTTCCACTGCCATCTCTGCTCCTGTTCAGCACGTGACCTCAACACGCCTCTTCCCCCTTCCCGTCCCCCCGCATCTGCTGCCCCTTCCCCCATGAAATGGGGACACTGATACTTTCTGAGGCAGATTAGCATCCACCCCCTGCCAGTCAGGGAGATAGACCTGCACCCTCCAAAAAAGGTTACTTGTCTGCCCATCACTGCACCGCGCACCCTGGACTCCCCCAGTGCTAGGGGGACCTCTTGGGGAGAAATTCTCTCCAGAAGCGCAATCAGGTTTGGGAGCCTGCAACATCCAGGCAATGGGACACATGGCAGCGTGACCCCCTCAGCTGCCATGGACCCACCCCATGCCAGTGGTAGCCCTGGAAACGGAATGGATGGGAGGGGAAGAAATGGATCCAAACAGTGTGGAAACGGTCCCCTGGGGCTCAGAAAGGGACCTCCCCACTCTCCTCTCCGAGGGGCCACAGCGTTTTAGGAAGGCTTTGCTCCGCCCTCTAAAGCGCTGTGATTGGCAACTGCCAGAGGCAGGAAACCAGAACCAAGAGAGAACTGAACTGGCCCAGCGTGGCAGGACCTGGGATATGAAGTTAGATGGTCACTGGGCTGATCTGGGGAGGCAGGGATCCTGGCCTAGATGGGCCCGGGGGTCTGATCCACAGTGGTAAGGCCCTGGTTCCACCATCTCCTCCACCAGGGCCAAGGCGGACGGGCTCCCACCTGTCATTGCTCACAGGGATTCCTTGTCTCTTCGAGCAGGGATGCACCTGAGCCAGGGGGCCTGTTCTCCCTGCTCACGACGACCCACCCGTCTGGGACACGGTCCTGGAGCTGAGGCGTCACATCGCCACCTTCTAGGTCAGCTGGGACGTGGCCAGGTCCTGGTGTCCGCTGACCCACCCTCCGAGCAGGAGGCTGGAGTGGTGGTGTGCAGTGCCCCCGTCTGGGCTCTGTCAGGGGCTGCAGCCTATTCCCCCCAGCTTGCAAAGGGACACCAAGGTTAATGATTCCACTGGGATGGCTCATTCCCCCCCTTCCCAAGAGACGGCTCTGCCCCACTCCCCTCCTGAAGAATGTTCTCACGGACACCCCCTGGGCTGGACCCCTCCTGATGCAGCTACAGTGACTTTCCCCTGGAGTGAACTGGACTCCACACCTCAGAACCGAGCAGCAAACCCGAATGCTGGCAAAGGCTCTTGGAAAGGGATCCGGAGCCTTCCCCCCACCCCCTCTCCCCGCCCTCCCCACCCCCAGCTGGACCCGACATGCTTCGCCTCCAGCCCGCCGGTTCAAATCTAGCTCTGTTGGCAGCTCCTTTCATGAAATGAGCTGATGGGTTCTCAGACCAGCTCCCGGCACACTCCCATTCCAAAGCACGCAGCCCTTTTGGCATGGATCGAACCCCTCTTGCTGGCAGCCTCATCCAACAAGCCAAGCTTCACAGGGGCTGAGGTGTATGGGGGGGGTCACTTGTCCCTCCCCGCTGCTCCCCACCCTCCTGCCCTGGGCCTTCCCAGAGGCCTCTGGGCATGTCAAGCCAACACAGAAAGTCACAGGGAGCAGCCGCAGCCACCCATGTAATGATGAGGATGTTCTCAGCAGGTCGGGGAGTCCTCTCCAGCAAAAGGGGACAGAAGCAGGGGGGAGAAGGGGACTAGGACACATCACCTCCCCTTCCCTCCCCCCAGCATCCCCAGGGGCTGGGCTCCCCTAATGGGTCTGTCTGAAGGAACATCCCCCCAGGTGACAGCTACAGGTGGGGGAGGCAGATATCCCCCCAGTGGGGCTACCGCCACCCTGACATCATTTCTTCACCCCTAGGTGCCAGGCAGCAGCAGAGTACGGGGTGGGGAATCTCGGGGGGGGGGGGGCACGGATGGATGAGCGACGGGCAGATCCAGAGAGGGATGGATGGAGAGGGGCCGGGATTAAAATAAGGGGGAGTCCACAGCTCTTCCTCCCCGGCTTGGGGGGGGGCAGCTCCCCCTTCTCCTTGGCAGCTGCACTGAGAGCGCCCCATGCTGTCTCACGCTGGATAGAGTCATTTCTGGACATGGCTGCTTCGCCCCACTGGGGTCTGGGAGCCCAGCCCCTGTCTTTCAGATGGACGGAGCAGGGTCCTACCCCCTCCCGCACCAGGCTTCCCTCTCTTTCAGCTCCCAGCTTTCACCCCCGGTGCCACCTGGCTCTCTACATGCCGGCATCCTCTAGGACATCCACCCGACCAGCACTGCCCCAGGGCAAGGAGGGAGCCCTGGGTCCGCAGAGCAGCTCCTACAGGGACTGCATACCCAGCACAGACGGGCATGCAGCGGGGACCAGAGCGGGCACAAACATGTACCAAGGCTGCCAGCAGCCACAGCCATATTGGCCTTTCAATCTCTCTCCCACATCCTGGAGTCTCCATGTTGCTAACGGCGTATTGGCACCTGGGGGAAAGGGGACATCTCACCAAAGGATCCAGACGGGGAGGGGGGAATGGAGACACCCCCCCCCCCCAACGGATCTGAACCAGCAGCTTGCAACACAACTCATCTCTGTTCCCCCCCCCCCGGAAAATCAGGGGCAATCACTCAGATTGCATCCCCATCCCCTCCCACCAGTTTCCATTTGAGCATGTCCAGGGTCCTCCCCCACCCCCCCAAAACAACCTACCCAGGGTGGTGGGGGTGAACCCTCCCCCAGCAGTGATCGGAGCACACAGAGGGGGAAATGCAACCGCTCTGCTGCTTGCACACACAAACCAGCCCCGTCCCAGGGGCCAGGCCTGGGGGTGGGGGAGTCAGCTCTGCTCCCTGCATCCCTGCCCTGGGGGGGGAGGGGGAACCTCAGCCTGTAGCTCGGCCCAGCAGCAATTGGAGCATGCACAGGACAAGCCAGGAGACCTCCCCCCTCAACACACACATCCCCAGCACTGGATCCCA